ACTTAACTCCGGGGGTAGGGAACGCGCATCAGCTCAAGGCTCGTTCGAGATGAACTGCGAGAACGAGGACAGCCCGCGGCAGCAGGCCAATAACAAAAACCTCTTCCAGCTACAGACATACAGCCAAACATACCCTATGCATGATCCGCTGCTGTTCATTACGGCGATACATAAATATGCATTTCTGAATTATTATACGTTATTATACTCGGGGCCAATTAAACATTTTGAAAATAAATTAAACATATTATTCACAAATTTTCAATAAGATAGACAAGAACACGGAAATTTTTATGTGGAAAAAAATAAATGATTCAAAACAGAGACATGGTTTTCTGTGTTTTAAAACATCTATTCTTTAACATTTTAAACACAACACGGATGTTAAAATACAACATAATTATCTGACTTTATTGATCTCTAGTGCAAAATTTACAAAATACCCAGCAGTAAACATATAAGATTAACTCCACTTTTACCAGCTGCAACATTAAATGGAATGTACACAATAATGCAGCAATAATTATAATCTAATATTTAATATGTACCGTATTAGTGTGAAATGTGCTATTATGCATAGTAAGTACTTATGTAAGCAATTCTGAGTACTTCTTCCACCACTGTACCAAAATCAAACTCAACTATTAGTACACCAGAAAACCTCTGAAACAATGACCTATTTGCAAAGAGTATTTCATCAACCGATTAAAAAGAAATTATTCAGCAATTTTAATAAATTCTTGTCATTTTCAAGCAAAAATACCAATCACTAGTTTCCCTAAGATTTTCTACTTTAGCCTGTTTATGGTAAGGATTTGCTGCTTTGCTAGTGTCTAATGTGATAGTAAATTGAACAGGCTATTCTGGGACTTTGAGCTGTTGGCTGAACAAAGCAAGAAAGGACCCTGATGAAGGCTCCTTGCCGAAACTTGTTAGTGTTAGTTACATTAAAGCTGCTCCAAACACTACAAGTGTTGCTCAAACTTTTGTTTTCCAGTTAGTTTTTCCCTTGTTTGAACAAGTTGTGCCAGAAATTTTTCCAAGCAATTTGAAAATCTCACAACCAAGAGCAAATAGTAATGTTAATTTTTTTCACTATTTTCTGATGTTCCAAGAACCAAATGATAAGATGATTAAGCTACTATAGATAAAACAAGTCGCAGTGTGACAGTCAGTGAAAAATAATCATCACCATTAAATAATCATTACAGCCCTAATCCTCAGTTTTATTTTATAGCAAAATGGTTTTGAATGAAAATCTAAAATATTTAGATGGCAGGCAGATTTCATGGATTTGGACTTGAGTAACTCACTAATATTAACATTAGGTAACTGTGACGCATGTGCAAACGATGTGCTGTGTAATTTTAAATGATCACAAGCAGTATAACTTAATAAAGATCACATTATAAAATGTACATACAATTTTATCTACATTGTACCTGATATGACAATTACCCACTTTAAATACATTCCAGGCCCTTTTACCTTGAGTTGACAGCTAAAAATGTTAAGTCCATGAAAAACGATTGCACAATTACATCTTTTGAAGGTGAATCAACAACCTTCAAAACATCTGAATTATGTAACATCTGTTCAAACAGGTACAGGCTTGTAACAATATCACCACATTGTAAAAACGTTAAGAATGCAACTTTAACAGTCACAGGGTAAAATGAAATTAATATAAATTACGATATTTAGAATTTCAGTAAGAATGTGCACATTTGTACAGTAGGTGTTTGAGAGAAAACAGTGTGTATGTGGACAGAGTCTGTTAGGACATGATACAACTGTGGTGGCTCTTACTTGATAATTACTATCCATCCATCATCTATACCACTTATCCTGAATAGGGTCACAGGAGGGCTAGAGCCAGCTGAGAGGCAAGAGGCGGGGTCCGCCCTGGATAGGTCACCTGATAATTACCAAAATTAGTAAAATCACATTTTAACCACAGATAAACAAAGTTTGGTAGTAAAAACAGGATAACCGGAGCAAAACATGGCAAATAAAGTGTAGAATAAAGGCAAATTACTCTGGCGATGCTAACAATCATAACCACAAAAACATTCCTATTGTTTTGCATCTTTTGTAACAACACCTCTTCATTGAGTTCATGGAATTTTAAAATAATTTGCGCTTTAAAACTCTGGACACTCTTTTTTCCCAGAATGTTACAGTATATAAAATATAAATGGTTAAACTACAGTATTTCTGGTCAATTTCATCATAACCTGTTTAATAGTATCAATGAGTAAAACATAGGTGGTCAGTCAATTAAAGAAGTCTAATTATCATCAAACATGTTTTTGTTACCATTTAAACATTTTGTTGTTTTAAAGTTGCACTAGATCATTTTGTATAATGCCAACTCTAAATGCCAGTGAGAGGTCAACACAAAGTTTTTAATTTGAAGACTTTTTTTTTGAAGATTTGGGTAACGAACCTGCTACCCTTTTGTGATTTGACTGAAGATTTTGTTAATAAAAATGAAATAAAATTACTAATGTCAGTAAAATGAATTATCCTAAGGTCAGCTCTTGTGTTGTTGTGTGGTAGTTTGTCAGCTAATAGGAAGCTCAAGACAAAGACACAATAGGCATCATTTCTGAAAATGAGATGCTCTAGTCTGTCCCATCATTCAGAGCTACTTTACTCCATAAACGCTATTAAAATAGAATGTAAATATAATAACATTTTCAGACCATGTTGTATGTTTTGTTTTTTTAGATGCGACTTTAAACTGTATTTCTTCATTTTGTATGACTATGGCTGCAGCAGATGTAAAGTGAACATTTCCAGGCCTGCCTTGGCTGCTTCACATTAAACACCACCACAGGAAGGCTTTTGTTGTGAAGGTTAGTGCACCAGCAAGCTAACATTAGTTTAGTATTACTAGTAATATCAGACTCATATTAGTCTGCTATGGACATTCTCAGCACTTTTATGACAAGTGACAGCCTGTTAGTCAGGATCAACATCAAGATACACACTACTTTGTTTGTCCCCATAGGCTTGGTCAGTTTGTACAAGCCAGCAGATCTCCAACACACTGCTAAGTAAGCTTTTACAATGCCCTCCTGCTGTATGGAAAACCGCATGGCAGGGGATGATGGGCTCTGATCACAGGTGCTTCCAGAATGACCCCATGTATGTCCCAAAAGGTGGCACTATCTGATTGTTGTTGAAAAGGATAAGCTGGTACAGTAAGTGTGTCCACATCTCTCCGGATGCATGGGTCATAGTATGCAGAGTCAGTATTTGCATGCAGGAGTAAAGTGTGTTTATTTTCATTTCAGATTTTAAAAAAATGGAACACACCCACATTTTGTTCAGTGATCCTGCTGGTCAGTGTGTGGGCTGGGTCACAGGCTACAGAAGTATGTGTGGACAGGGAAGGCAATGAGTCCAGCCACAGCTATACCCAGACTGTCTCCTACACTGGCAGCAGCCATGGCAAACTCCCTGTGTCTGTCCTCAGTCTGTGGGAGCAAGGAGACACGTCAGGATGGACATGTACTAGACAGCCTAGTTACTGTAGAGTGAGAAACAGCACAGCTACAAGACAGCAGTATACTGCTCTTCTAGCATATCAGTGGCTATGTTAAGATACATGCAGAATCATTTTACAATGCAATTTACAGCTGAGGCTGATGGGAATGTCGTTGCACTTTTGCAAATGTTCCGTCATAAACCAAAGTATTGGACAAACTGAAAATTTGTTCTGATGATAAAAAGTTAAGGGTTGACCAAAGGGATAACAAATCAGTCCAGCTGCATTTAATGACACATGAATACCCCAAAATAACAAATCAACTGAGAGAATGGTGACCTGACCTCCTCACTGATGAAGTAGAAGGTGTTGACATATGCAGCTCCACCCAGTAGACCCTCATAGATGACAATAACAAACACTAGCCATACACTGGGCATAAACTGGTAACGCACTGCAAAGAGAAGTAGCACTGCATTCACCACCTGTGGAAGAGTGAGAAGGAGTGGTTGGTGAAACAGTTTGACAATAAATGCAATCAAGACACAAACCTACTGTAGTGAAAACAGATGAATCAGTGGAGTCACAAGTTGAACCTTAACAATAACCCTAAAGCCAAACAGTAAATTTATCAGTGAAAGTTATGGTGATAATAATAGAACCAGTGGCATAAGTCTAGAGGTCCTATAAGCCTCAGTGAGTACTAGACTTATCTATGATGCTTTGCCTGCAGTTCAGTTGCTCTAAAAAAAGCATTTCTCTAGGGCAAAATCAGCTCTGCTACAAAGCATGAGAAAATTATTAGCCACTTTCACAACTTCTCTCCTTCCTGCACCAGCCACCTCTCTCATAGCTGATGAGTTTGCAGCAGATGTGAACATTTCAACCCAAGGGGTCAGAAACACTGCTTCAGGCCTCAGTTTCAGCAACCCTACAACAGTGGGTACTAATCTAACTCCAGAATACAATCGATGTACTATAAAAAGTAATTCAAAAAATAGAAGAAATACCATCTGGATTTCAGTGTTTACAACATTTAACTCATCGTCATGTATGTAAATTAAATAAAGACCATCTGAACATCCCTGGTGTGCATTGGAATTTTGTATTTTTGTTACCTTATGATTAAGGTCAAGACTTTAAGCTACTAATGTTGACTTTTTTAACATTTAACCTTACAGTAGGTACCTTAAGTCATTTTAAGGCATGTAACTGCAATTTACATGGAGAAATTAAAAGAACAGCCAACTAAACTTTGGCAGTAAACATTTTTGAAATATGCTAGCTTTGTGATCCAGGCACCCTCATGTTTTTCACCTGTAGCCAAGAGAGAGCCCACAGTTTCCTGATCTTCACACAGCACAAAGAAGATCGGGACACAAACACACCAACCTGGTACAATGTCTGGTACCTGAGTACACAAAAATAATAACCAGATTGATGTCCACATCCTCAGAAAATTTAAAAAGTAATTCCTTCAGAGTACTATTCAAGTAATTACAGTAACTGACCAGCGATACTGCTCTGCATGGGACAGGAAAAAGTTTGGGAAGTACAGGAGTTCCATCTGTAAAAGGGAATGGGTTACAATACGCTCCAGATAATCAATGTTTAAAAGGGCTCAGAAAACAGAAAGATCACATCTCAAACTTCCATACAGTCTAAACCAGAAGAAAGTTTGGTTTGTCTTAACAACATGTAATAAGATGAATGTCATGCCAGATGCATCAGAGAACGTACCAAGCCCTGGTTGATGAAGTACTCAGCAAAATAGACCAGTGCCAGGGGAAACACAAACTTCAGCAAGCCCTGCTCACAGGAATCAAGAAGGATAATCATGTAACCACACAAACGCTCAAACCTTAAGTACAGTGTAGAGTCCACTTACTTTGATGACATGCAGTTTCTCAGTGAAGGTGAGAGGTCCAGTGGTCCTGTTCTCTGTTACATTCAGGGGGAAGAGAACATGGCCTGTGCAGTTATTCAATGACAAACAGAAGTACACAAAAATGAGTTTTTATTCACAGAAACAGCTGGTTGCAGCAGGAAAGGAATCAACAAGCCCCCTCAGGTGTGTCTTTGAGAATTTACTCATGGAGAGTTTCATTGTGGAAGACAAGAGCAAGTGCACAAAACGACACACTATAAGTTCACCCTGTTTTGCAAAAGCAAAGTGTGCTGGTGGTCTGGTTACTTCAACACCTGTATACAGTATAAGGATAAATTCAAATTCAGATCAAGTCCGACAACATCTCTCTGGTATCCTTTGGTAATAAGCATCTTAGACTAGACAGATTAGTAAACACCTGGGGGATATGTGCACTATACTTGCTGTGTAGTGTTGATACAGCAGCCTCTCACTGTGTTCTGGAGCCACTGAAGTGCTTTATACGCTGAGTGTGAAATCACAAGGATGAAGTGACAACTGAGAAAAGACTGGTCAGTACCAATCATGTGTATATTAAGTACAGAGGCAGGATGAGGTATAAAGACTAGAAGCAGGGGGAAACTGCTGATCTGATACTGATACTTGATACTGAGTAGGGGAAACTGCTGATCTGATACTGATACTGAGTAATAATGGTCAGAAAATCATAAAGACAGTGCCACCGTCAATCAATGGTGAGTCTGTGGAGCAAGTACCCTCTTTTAAATACCTTGGCATTCACATCTCCAGTGACATAGTATGGTCAATAAACACAACAAAAATAAAGAAAGCACAGTCACAACTATACTTTCTGCAGCCCCTGAAAAGGACAAACATGAATAAACAGCAAGTGATGTCCTATTACAGATGTGGGATTGAGAGCATGGTGACGTATGCCATCACTTCTTGGTATGGACGTTGCTCAGCAGAAGACAAAAAAAAATCTTTGCAGAACTCTCTAAGAGCTGCTGCATGAAAATATCACTGAACATACTGAGAGATCATTCCTACCCTGGTTATCATTGAGTTCTTTCTTTTTTTGTACCACAAGAGAAACTGATAACTGCAAATTCACAGTATGTCAACCATATAATGACAACAAGTTCTTCTTCTATATAAATGGTGATAATACAGTTTGTCAGAGTCAGAGGAATGCGAGTTGATTTAATCAAGCAAAGCAGAAATACTGGAAGGTCTACCATAGTTCACAGTTATGCATATCTGAACAGCAAGACATCCTTCAACCAAGATAAAACATGCAAGCAACTGATGTTATCTGACCTCACATGATTAAGTATGGAGAAGTGCTGGCGTCTAATGAAATTAATAATTTGGAGTTTTATCAAAATGAAACAAAATCTTATTATTTACCATCTGAAGAGTGACATTTACAACTAAAAGTTTCCTCCATAATGACACATGCTTTTATTAATAACTGATTAAACACTGCAGTTCACGGAAAACTTTGCTGTTAGCCCACTCACTGATGAACCAAACATGTCAGTACATTTTTAAAGTATGTTTAATTATACTTATCTTATCTGCCATTTGTAATGCAAGTTTGTGATATGTACCTGAGGTAGATTTTTCCTGCTCCTCTTCTTCTGATCCATCAATCAGCTGCCGTCTCTCCTCTGAGCCCACAGGTGCATACCCAGTCTCCATTCTTCTCCACTGAGGTAATGAAGGTGGAGGAACCAGCAAGAAGAAATAGCTGGTGGTGGTGGATAGGGCAACATGTTGGTTTAAGCAAAAAATATAAAATGGGAAAAATGATTTTGCTAATACTGTGAGTAAAAGACAAAGGAAATGGCGTGAAAAAAGAGATGCACTTAAGGGGCAAATCTATGGATTTAAAGCTAAACAGAAAAGATCACTATCGCACACAGTTGGGGGTAATTTCTTATATAGTCGCAATGTCTGGAAAGAGTAGCCACTGCCTTTGGACTTTTATGTTTAGGCCTACTGTTAAAACTTTGAAACTAACTAGGCTTTTCTTCCATTAGAGCCAGTTTTCTTGTATCTGTCCTCTGAATGATACTTTTCAGTGAACTGGCCATGGATCAGTTTGGAAAGGATGCACTCCATTTGGCTGAGCCAAAATAAAAGGAAATTAAATGTTTTCTTTTTTAAATCAACATTATTAAAGGGCAGGCCCTCTACCATATCCCATGATCCTTTGGGGGATATTTACTAAGGTTTTGTTGCTCAGTTTCTGGCACTAAACAGTGGCATTTTTACTAAGGGCTCACAGTGGGGTTTTGCAGCAGAGAAAAAAAAAAAAAAGAGTAAAGTGGCACCACAGGAATTTGTACATTTGGTCTCATGCAATATGTATTTTAAGGCATTCCCATTCAGGGACACAAAAGCCAGGGAGGAGAGAATGGAAATTTATACAAATAGTCTCACCACGTGATTTACCACCACTGCAACAGAGGGAACTGTGGCTGAAATTTATTGTCAGCAAAAAGCAGGTATAAAACGCGTGGCCCTGCTCTCAGCGTGTCAGCTGTTATTCATCTGAGCTCTCTTCTGAGTTATTAACACGTTTGAGGAGTGAGTATGTAAACTGCGTTGCTCGCCAGAGGAGAATATGACTTGTACAGGCTTTCAGGTCAAACCACACTTCATTTACTGACTGAAATAAAAGATGATTTTACTGGCAAAAGGCTAAGTGATGGCAGCTCTGAAATGTGTTTGTTGATTTCTTCAACCATATTAAAGTTCAGTTGCTTTCTTCCACATTTCTTTTTGGTACAAATGTGCACAGTAACCTATAGGCACCAGATCCTAAGTAGAGGTATATGCAAATTAACACAGCTGCTGCTGCTGTGCTCATTTTCATCTTCAGCATTGGTAAATATGTTGCCAAATTGAAAAACTGTGGTGCTGCAATACTGTGTGCGCCTGGTGGTGATTTGTAACAGGTTTAGTTTCCCTTTTTGTGTCAGTAGGGAAAAGTAAAAATGAAATTAGCTTTATTTTATATCATGCATGCAACATGATATTTGCATTCATTTCCCCAGTTGTGTTGTTGTGGAGTATCTGGAATGATTTGTGTCAGTAGGTAGGAACCACTGTGCAGCAGCGATGTCCATGGCCGGGAGTAAATAAGGAGCACAGCCAACGTTAAAGAGTCCATGGCATGATTTCTGTGTTTTCTGACTTATCTACAGTGTTACAATGATGAATTATCACGTTAGACATGACTGAAAGCTCAAAAACACAAGGTTTAGCTATGTTGTTGTATTTCTGTGCAGAAGCAACTCGGTTTATACAAGTCTCGAGAGCTCTCACTGGTGAGAATTTTTTTTTCCAACAATGTAAAGTCTTGTGCAAAAGTTTATGGATTTCCTTGAATGGTCATAATGTCCCGGATGTGCACGTTCCTGCAAGCTTGTTTGACATCCACTGGTGCCATTCTAAAAGTAGGATTTTTCAACTGCATGCAGTTTTATGGATATATTTTACCTACTGCTGCTGCACTGTGACCAAAGGATGGGTAGAAAAATACAGGGCCTGAGGTTACTGCATGTTGTTTACCTATCTAATGAGGAGAAATTCAAATTAATTCATGCTGTTGTGGTGTGTCGTGCTGTATACTTTCACGTTCTGGCCCGAACATGTCAGGTAGGATCTGAGTTATTGTCACTGTCGAATGCATAGCTTATCTGTCAAAGTTTTTTCATTTATATGCTGTTGTAGCTTCCTGATTGGCAAGAGGAGTTATGCATGTTCACGAACTATACTCTTGTTTTCAGGAAGAGGCTCTCTGGTTTTATCATTCTGAAATAATCACAGACTATTTGGAGTTATGATGGGTGCAAAGCTAATCTACAGGTACCCAAGATTAAAAATTTAATTGCTGGAAATGAGCATCCATGGGCACTATAAATACAATGTAAACTGGCAGGTTTATACATGTAACATAAAGACTTCTTGGAATGTGAGATTAAAAGAAAAAGTATAAGGCTGGTTAACAAAGGCAACAAATATAGAACTTATCTTTTTGCTTTCTTACCTAATCAACATAACCAATGGGACCACAAGCATGATGAGAAGTGTGATCTGTGGCGACAGGCCAGCTTGAGTGAGACCTGAATACAGGAAGGCTCCACCAACACCAGCGCCACCAGTACCTGAGCTCCATCCTCCCAGTACATTACTGAAGACAAGCACAAATCTGATGTTCACAATCTATTACGATCACAACTAAACTTGGTCGTACTGTTTTAAATAACCAATAACTGAGAGGCAGACATACATGCATATCATCAGCAGCTCCTTGACATCAGTATTCCAATATAGTTTAGATGTTAGATAGAGATATATAAATGATTTCAGAAACTTGAAGTTTCCATCAGACAGAGTCAGTTGTCATGTTGTTGTGAACTGGCATTGCAACTGAAAGATGTACACTACCAAACCAAAGTTTGTACACACTTTCCCATTCAATTAAATGGGGAAGAGTCTCCAAACTGAACTGGTAGTGTTTAAACAATGGTTGTACTTTATATTCACTTCTTAAATGGTTCTGCTGTTTAAACCCTTGTCTATTCACAGACTATACCTTACACTTTGTGTACAGATCCAAAATTTGTCATTTGATGAAGTTCATGCAAAACTGGAAAAAGTGCTCACCTGGTGAAGAAGACAGTGAGAGCGAGGAAGGACAGTTCTCCCAATCCAGCGCTGATACTAGCAAAGATCACCCCTACAAACACAGTGGTAGACAGATGATCTGAGTGAGTCAAGTGAGGAGGCACAGAGATGCCTTTAAAATGTCCATGAGTGCAGGCAAGTAATAATCACAGGAGGACTTATTCATTTGTTATTTATATATCCCTGATAGATTAGTAGCATAATTAGATCCAACCATGTAACTTCCCCTCTGCCATTTTACTTTACCATTTCTGGCTGGGGCCCTTTCATTGACCTTTCACAGTAACTATGAACATTAATGCTGGCTGTACTGATGTTCCATGGCCAGTGCTGGGAAGCAGTGAACTACGTGCAATTAAACTAGTTAAACTACATTTTTCAGTAGCTTGCTGGTAACTGGACTACAGTGGATTCAGAAAGTATTTATTTTTTGCACATCTTATTGTGTTGTGGATTTAATTTTGAATGGATGCTTTTGTCATTTTAACCATCATTATATACTTAATCACCCATGATGACAACATGAAACCATGGTCATAGAGTTGTCTGACAATGAATCAAGAATCTAAAACTGAAATCTCTTACTAGCAAAAGTATTCGAACCCTTCATTCAGTACTTTGTAGAAGCCTCTTTGGCAGCAATTACAGCTGCAGGTGTTCTTGGATACTTCTGTACATGCTTTGTACACCTGAATTTGGGCAGTTTATCCATTCTTCATGGCAGAGCCTCTCAAGGTCTGTAAGATTGGATGGTTGGCGTCTGTGTACAGCCATCGTCAGGTCTCTCCACAGATGTTCAATGGGATTTAAGTCTGGACTTTGGCTGGGCCCCTCTAGGACAGTCAGAAACTTGGCCTGAAGGCACTCCAGTGTTGTTTTGGCTTGTTATACTTCATCTCATTGTCGTGTTGAAAGGAGAACTGTCGCCCCAGTCTGAGTTTGCATGTGCTTTGGAGGACGTTTTCTTCAAGGATGTTCCTGTATTTGGCTGCATTCATCCATGGAGTAAAGGTTGACTAAATAATGAGCAGTGTAACTGCAATTTTTGCATCCATAAACTGAAATGCAAATGACTTTTAGCAAAAAGCAGTGTACAAACGTTGCACACTCTTATTGCATTGTTGGAATATTTTTAGGGCACCATATAGTGAATATACTACAGAGTCAGAATTGGGACATGCACAAATGGCCCTTATTTTAGTGATATCTTGTAACTTAGCATGCTGATAAACATTTCCAGCAGCTACATATCTGTGGAACAAGTGCAGCTGCCGCTGTTGAGATATGACAACAGGAAATGAAACCAAGACAAAATATTTTAAGATCTAATCCATCATCTGATTCAAGAGTCACTCCCACCACCAACAGTGATAGAAGCTCTAACTAAAATGAGTAACAGCTCTGTAAAATTGGTGGCTTTACCTAGAATGCTCATCCACACAGCTGACGAGAAGGACACCAGAAGGAAACTTGTTGCTGCCATGGTGACACAGACCAACACTCGAATACTAGAATTAAAAACAGAAATTTGTCACAAAATTTGAAATACAGTACAATATTGACACAAAAACATTAGAGCCATGTTTTTATATAACAAACACTATTCCTTTTGCTCTCTTAACATGTCACTGTCCAGTTACATACAGACTGCAATGTATACAAGTCAGAAAGTGACAGTCAACCAGCCTGTGTGTAGTGACAGCGAGAAAATGGCTCCATGTCACCATTTCTTTTCCCTGTTAAGCTACCATCAGTTAAATTCAACAATTCCACATTTTGTTAAGTAAAATCAAAACCAGGAAAGGCAAGGATCCTACCCACTGAGCCACTGGGAAACACACACATCTGGGACACCAGTACTGTGAAAGAGTTGAGCTCACTTATAGGCAGTGTTTAAAAAAAACCCAAGTCAAAATACATATATATATATATTGTATTGTTATCTCTAGACACTATCTTTAGCCATGCTGCCAGCATGGCTAAAAATGAGATGTTGTATCGGCATAGCTAGATAAATACATGGAAATGGAAGGGGGGAAACCAAATATATGTTTTACAAGTTGAAGAAACACTTTAATTATCCATTCAAGATGGTGACGAGTCGGCCTATAGAGAGGAGGTTGAACAGCTGGCCCTGTGGTGTGGTCATAACAACCTGGAGCTGAACACATGGAAGACAGTGGAGATAGAGGATTTTAGGACGAGCTCCCTCACCCTAGCTCCGCTCACTATACCCAGCAGCAACGTTTCAGTCGTGGAGTCCTACAAGTTCTTGGGCTCCACAATCTCTCGGGACTTGAAGTGGACAACCAACATCAGAGCCATCATTAAAAAGGTGCAGCAGAGGATGCACTTCCTGCGTCAACTCAGGAAGTTCAACCTGCCTCAGGAGCTGCTGATTCAGTTCTATAGGGGAATCATCAAGTCTGTTCTCTGCTCATCCATCTCTCTTGAACAGCTGCCTACATTTGCTCTCTTTAGCTTTTAAACTTGTATATACTTTGTATTTGTTTTGTTTTTATTGCTGTGCACATCAGCCATTGGGCTGGAGTTAAATTCCTTGTATTTTTGATAATACTTGGCAATAAAGTTTATGCTTATTAGCAGTGAAACCAGTTATTCCCATTTAAATAATCAGTGTCCAGCCCTGCCCCAGGTTCCACACAAAAAATGTTTATGAACACAGTCAGTAGTAGTAATCAGTCTTACCCATAAGGCACTTTGTGGATTACAAAGGGAGCAAACAGCTTGATGATGAGCGTTGGGAGGATGTCGGCTAACAGCACAGCCTGAGGGGAAAAGCATCAGAATTCTCACTCGGTGCTCAGAGAAACGATAAATCTTAGCCCTCAACACAGTACAAATGACCAACCCTGAGATGGACAAAAGAACTAAATTCTATCTGTGCAGTCAAAGCTGCTTGGTTTGCATCTTTTTGTGGAGGAAGGTTATTGTCCCACACTGCAGTGTCTAATCACAAATGCAATATGATAAATCACATGTGCATGCTTTTGTCTTTGAAAAACCAAAATATTAGCTAAATATAATAACATAAAAATGGCACTCGCACCACTTGTCATTTTTAGTTTTTGTACTGATTAAGCAAATGAGATAGAATGTGTTAATTAGTGAGCTTTAGAGGTGCTGACAAGGGGGAGTTTGCTACCTTCCAACAGTTCAGGATAATAGTTCCCCCAAGTCGCCAGTCTTTACTCTCAGCTATGTTAGCTTCTTATTTGCAAACATGAGAGTGGAATCACTTTTCTAATTTTATCAGGCAAGAAAGCAATAATAATAAGTATATTCACAAAATGGTGAATGTTACTTCTAACACAGCAAGAGAAACATAACATTTTATGTGAAATTGAGAGTAGACCTAGATTATTTCATGTAAATGTTATGTTACTTCATATATTGTATACAACATACTTTACACCTATGTTATTTTGTTGGTCCATTAGAACAAATAAAAGATACCCATCATGTAATTTTTCAATAAAAGGTTGTACAGTATGTGTATAGGTAGTATGGCTGGGCATGAGGAGGTGCCCTGAAACAAAGTAATATGTCTGTTACGGCCCTTATTTTTGTAATTTGGATTTGTTTCTCTGTCTAAACCAGTTTACTTTTTAACCCTTCTAACACTGGAAGATTTGCAATGCTATAGGGATTTGCTATTATCATATTACTTTCAGTACCTGTTTACTATTCTTTTTTTCTTTGTTAATAATATTAAGTAATGTATAACAAAGTTACCACATTTAAATAATGGGCGAGGAAACGCTGCCAAATTATAGACAACATCATTATTGTGCATTTTTTTTCAAGAAACCTCACCATGACAAACTATTATTTCCTTATTCAACATGCACACTGATTAAGGTTACGGTAGTCATTGTTGTGTTATGAATCTCCTTTTACCCCAGTAGAGACAGGATTGCAGTCATAGCGACTACTGTTGCTACTGTTTCCGCCTTGGAAATCCATGGCTGTAGTCTAGAATTGAAAGAAGAGATGGGTGAAAAGTTAAATCCTTAGCAATCACTGCTAAAACAAAATATTTAATTTGAGATTTGTCTGCTTACAGATGCTGTGGCATTTTCTGACTCTTGCTTTTTGAGGATGTCATGGGCAGCGCTCAGCATTACCACATAGGCAAAGTTGTTGCACAACCCAAGGAGCCTGAGGAGGTCATCACAAGAAGAAGAGATAGATAACACAGGGTAAGCAGTTCAAAATGTCAATAAGTAATAACTAAACCACAGATTTTTACTTTGATAAGACAGCGAAAGAACTGTAGATCTAAATTGCTGATTTTAGAAAGCTCTTTTTTTTGTCGTTCATAACCGCACACTTTTTTCTTCAGCTGAATTTAAGCAATAGCAACATTATTTTAACTTTTACTTTATTCCGAACTTTTTAATTTACCAGTATTTAATGTTGTCTTAACATTTTTAAAAGGTTTATAAAACTAAGCATTCATTGCCAGCTTTTGATACTTGATAGTTTGTTGGCACTAGACCCTACTGACCTATTTCAGTAGGTACTCAAAGGGCACTGGGGTTTGATACCTTCAGAAAATGACACAAATACAGTAATTGCAAAGATAATTCAAATTTTACTTCCCATGTGTAGCATCCATCCATCTATCTATTATCTATACCACTCATTCCTGAACAGGGTCACGGGGGATTGGAGCCAATCCCAACTGACATTGAGCAAGAGATGGGGTACAGCATGGACAGGTCACCAGTCTTTCGCCGGGCTGACACACACACACACACACACACACACACACACACACACGCACGCATGGGAAATTTAGAGTCGCCAATCAACCTAAGCTGCATGTCTTTGGACTGTTGGAGGAAGCCAGAGTACCTGGAGAGAACCCACACAGGCACAGGCTGAACATGCAAACACTGCACAGAAAGGTCCCGGGTCGGCCCGGGCCCAATCCCGTTACCTTCTTGCTGTGAGGCAACAGCATTAACCACCACACCACTGTGCCCCCGTGTAGCATTAATCCACAAAAATAAGTCCGTAGCTAGTAAAACTCTGTTGTAATAGCTGATATTCTTTTGATTGCGCCAGCTAGCTTTTAGTGACAGATAAGCATTATTCTTTTCTAATTTACTGTATATTTCTCACTGTTATTATGGCATTTACAGTTAGCTGAAAATTATCTATCTGTTTTGGGGAAAACATTTTTTAAATTTACTTTTCCTTTAAAAGTTGCCTGGGGTTTCAATTCTTAAATCCAAATAGCCTCAACCAGAAGTACCAGTGACTTTCATGTGAATGTGGGAGTGTATGGACACATTATACAGCTAGCAGCATTCAATAAGAGGAAGCTGTAGGCTTCATTTTAGTTTCACAATCAGCATTTCTTTTACTTTATATACAGTGCACTACAGTACGGTGCTTTATAAACATTAATACTAGCGTATAGTGGTATTTGTCACTTCTTTTATAGTTTAGAAAACTCGTCACTGATGCAGAAAATAGATTTTCAGCTTGTTTAAACATGGTCACTCACCAAAATCCAGTCAGACTACGCCACTGGTTACAACGACCTACGAACAATAATCAAGATGTTTAGCAACTTGCAAAGCCATAATGTTAGTAATAAGGTATTTATTTGTTAGCCAAACAAACTGTCGACAGGTGACAGACCCACCACTCGTGACAGAGCGTTGACCGGCGTCTGCGCTGACGGTGGATGTCTGCTCCATGTTTAGAGACGAGCCCAGGCTAAATGAAGTAAAACCGAGCTGCTAGGCTAACAACAGTTGAACATACTAAACTGTACGTGACGCATCGTAAACTAGATGCTAAATACCCCCCAGGCGGTAAATTCGGCACTAAGGACAAGCTGCACTTTCTGTAGCTTTAGGTTGTTTTTCATGATCTACTTTGTAATGTCCGTCACCTCACACGAATTATGGTGTTTCATTTAAATAATTCCAACGGATACAAAATCAGCTTTAAACGTTCCCCTTCGATGACGCTACTTAGCATACAAACATAGCTGGAAAAATGGTGTTCATTATTCAGAATTACACTGTTGTGTCATATCAAAAATACAGGAGGACTTTTTGTTTAGTTATTTGCCGTTAAAATAAAATTATAAACAGCTGCGCTCAAGGTTAACCTTCCTGTTTACCATTTATAAGACGTATTAAAACACTTACTAAATTGTTTCAAACAAAATAACACACTAACTGTAAAAACATTTATTACATAAGTATTTATTGATTACTTGTTGACAACTAATCTATAACTCCTCTAAAGAATCATTCCTAAATTTTGGTTAAAATGTTTGATAATGTATTAGCTGCTATTATACACTGCCTGGCCACTGTACAATTATATCCATTCAATGTAACACTTCCTCCTTAACATTTGTGTTTATGAAGCTCAAAATGTTCCAGTTTTTAGTGAAATTGTCATAAATCTATAAATTCAATTATATGTTAAAGTTAAAGGTGTTGTTGTACTGGACTACATTACATTCAGAGGTGTTCCTAATATTCTGACCCTATCATGTATGTAGCTGGGGAGGACAAAACTACAGAGACACAGTGCAACACCACCTTTAACTGTGACCTCAATAATAAACATATAATTGAATTTATACTTTTATAACAATTTCACCAAAAACTGAAGCATTTTGAGCTTCATAAACACAGATGTTAAGCGGACGTGTTGTATTGTATAAAGCAATATAAAGTGGAATAACTCAAGCAAAGTAACAGTACAGTATACTAAAACTGTACATTAGAGTACTCAAGCAAATATATGTGACATGAGATCTGATAGGAAAAGGAAAGCTGATGGTGCTGATATAAAAGCTCATGTCCGGAGCTGCCTGTGTATGTATATAAAGGTGCAGCTGCTCCCTTGCAGCCTGCGGAGCCACAGCCTCACTGAGTCACAGCCATGGTTTTCTGCAAACTACTCACTGTGCTGGTACTGATCCACAACATCGGAGGTGAGAAAGACAACCACCATCCTTTTCATCATGTTACCATTAGTCTATAGAGGCTGATCTTTGTTTAATTTATTCTTCTACTCGTTAAATTGCTACTAATACAATTATTTGATGGACTTATATCAACAGTTTCAAAATCAAAAGCTGTATTTTCAACATTATGACTATTTTATGGGAAACAGTAAGCTGGACTATTATTACAAACAATTTTTTATGATATTCTAATTTTAGATTACATAAAAAAAATGTTAACAAGTATTTATTACAGTCAGCTCTTCATTCGATATGAGAAACTTATAGTTGCAGCTGTTGAAGCCATTTTCTATAGAAGAAGTACAAAGACAGGAGCAAGACTGTCTCTAGTAACTTTGTTGAATTTAAAGTGTATGGGGGCAGACACTGAATTCAATACTAACCTTCATTTTGGTTTGTATTTATTTTTTTAATTTTATTTTATTTTTCATTATAAAAAATATCAACCTTGAATTAACTTAATGTGTGTGACAGACACACTAAGTTTTCACCATGAATGGGTTCTTCAAACTGGGGAATAAATAAATAAATAAAAATCGTACTGTAATTGAAGAGTTTTGACTCTCACACTGTGCATGCTGGGAAGTCTCCTTGCTCAGACTGTGAAATATTTGTAAAATAATGACAAATTGTAACTGTAGTTTAACAGTATTCTTATGTGAAAAAAGTCAAATAAAAAAAAGCTAACTTCATAGTGATTCACAGCTACAGGCGTTTCCTGTTATTTTAATTTTTGCATGTAAGTTCACAATATATTTTAGTAATTATATTAGTGTTTCCAAGTACTTTAAAAAATACAGGAAAAAATCTATAAAATAGGAAAACTCTGTAAAACTACACTTTTTTTGTGTGTAGCATTTTTATTTTGGATGTGAAGCAAAATAAATTTTAGTGGAAGACAATATTTGAATTGGTCAAATATGTAAATCACTTACCCAAAATTCTGTATATGGCTTTGCTCAAAAGTTTTGTTGGGTTTAATAAAATTGTATCAGTGCTTTTATCGTATCACAATCTTTAATCATTCCTTTTTCAGGTTTGTTTGGAGCTGAGGTGAGGGTCTCTATCGTCGGAGGAGAGGATGCTCCTAAGGGCAGATGGCCGTGGATGGTCCACCTAAACATAACCGATGCCAGCAAAAAGAAAAACTGGCGCTGTGGAGGCACCATCCTCAATGAACAGTGGGTGCTCACTGCTGCACATTGCTGGGATGAGTAAGTGTACATTTGTCTGTGTTTTCAGAATCATAAAATCCTTTTTTCTTTGACATGTTCTTAATCATCTTCCACAGAAGTGACATCAGCGATTACTAGTGTAGCAATCCACTGCATGCCTTTTATTTAGCCAATGAGGGGGGGGAAATATTGACAACCCATGGGAGGGTTCAGAGTGACCCTTTCTAGAAAATGCACTGGGGCACAATCAACACTACAGTAACTGTACAAATCTTAACATACTCTTGTAAAGTTTTGAAGAACAGATTACTGTGTAAACATTAAATATGTAGTAAAAGCCATTAAGTCCCCCTTCTCTCATTCACATTTCTTAGGTTTAGTGAGAAGCTGATCTACAACATAAATGCAATGCTATGCTTTTTGTACCTGTTAAATTCATTTAAATGTAGCTTACAAGTGTGTTCTGTATGAAGAATTGTATCAATTATACCAAAATTGTTAACATACATTTGAAATGTTTAATACAAATGATATAAGTGTTGCACAGTGTGCTATTACATACTATGAACACTGGCTAATTGGTAAATACATCTTCAAACACAAAATATCTATTATATTATAAAACACAAGAAATAATGCCCTAATATGTATGCAGAGCTCAGATATACTGTATATTGCAATTAATATATACTGTATAAAAACTTGTTAAAGACAGGCATTCCAAAAATAAATAATTTTTAAACATTTACATTTTTGATCTGACTTAACTAGCAACCTCTACATTACAGCACAACAGCTTTAATATACGCTCTTCATTTTAGTCTGTTAAGCAGTAATACTACATAAAACAAGCTTACATAAGGCACTAATTCAATTTTTGAACACCTTAAGCAAACACGATACAGTCCTTTAAATTAAGTTACAATACATCAGCATTCAGCCTGAAAGAAATATCTTCAATTCATTTAGACTCAATTCAGTTTATTTGTATGGCACCAGTTCACAACAACAATTATCTCAGGGTATTTTACATAATCAGGTCTAGACATTACACTATTATAAGGAAAACCCAACAAATCCCCCCTGAACAAGCACAAGCACTTGGTGTTATGGTTAGTCCCCCTCACCAGGAGGGTGAGGGAGAACTAGGGGTAGGACTCAAGATAGCTGACCCAGGTGCTAGTACAAAAAAAAGGAGGTTTAATGTAAGACAACAACAAAGTGACAACATAACAGTGTCCATAATACATACAAGGGAAGGGCAGTGATGACTAGGAGACCAGGACGAACAGGTACACATACACTGATGGCAGGAACTAGGATAGTAGAGGATGTGGACGGACAGGCGAACAAAAGAACCAATGTACATAATATAATCCACCGCACAGAGACTGTCAGCGTGGACGACAGAAGGACATACAGCTAACCGCAGACCTATGAACACTGGCTAACTGGTAAATACATCTTCAAACACAAAATATCTATTATATTATAAAATACAAGAAATAATGCCCTAATATGTATGCAGAGCTCAGATATACTGTATATTGCAATTAATATATACTGTATAAAAACTTGTTAAAGACAGGCATTCCAAAAATAAATAATTTTTATACATTTACATTTTTGATCTGACTTAACTAGCAACCTCTACATTACAGCACAACAGCTTTAATATACGCTCTTCATTTTAGTCTGTTAAGCAGTAATACTACATAAAACAAGCTTACATAAGGCACTAATTCAGCGGCGGGTACAGCAGTCACCTCCCAACCGGAAGGTTGAAGGCTTGAATCTCGGTGCCTGCAGTCAAAGTGTCGTTGGGCAGTGTCCAAAGTGTCGTCCCCCCCGCATGGTTAGAGCCATCAGTTGAGTTGGCGCCGCAGATGGCTACCTTGGTTCTGTACTGGAAACAAATTCCTTGTGTGTAACATACATGGCCAATAAAGGTGATTATTATTATTTCCAGACTTAACCTACCCTTAACACAAAGCATCCCTGAACCCTATCCTCACCCAAACAAAGAGCAGATATGTGGTTTAACGCACAGCATCTGCACTGCATTTGTTCAGGTCAAGCAGTGTCTGGCCCAACTGACTTATAGTGGCAGTGACCTCTGAGAGCCAGGTCCACTCACCTGTCCAACCACTGACACTCTACCAAGATTGTCAAACAAAGGAAAAATACACTACTAATAACCACAAAACAAAAAGAAGCAACAGCAACAGTCAGAGGGAAACAAATCATTAAAGTTGAGTGCCAGTAAAACAAACCAATCAAAAGCTAAAAGATTCTACAAAGGTCCACTGAGCTGAGTGACCTCATAGTTGGTGATACTCCCCTGTGGACTCATCACAGTGAGTGAGCCTTTCCATGTTACACAGGGTTATTTGATCTATGGTTCAAATAAAAATAGTGTGTAATGCAACTTTAAACAAACAAAATGCTGAGTGGCACCAATGTTAACTACACTGAAGGAAGGCTGATATCAGGACAGCCTAGCTTTTGTTATAATTAAAAATAATGGCTTCCCCATCAAAGCCTTTATGTTTACAGGTTCCAGTTCATTTGCCGATGCACTTTCTTTCAACTTTTACAAATATTTACTGGCTCTACAGTATCAGTCAAATGGCCAAACAAGGTGATGCTAAACAAGGTGATGCTAATTCATCCCGCTGTCACTGATGTGCCACATCTGCTGAACCTACATTGATGTTAGAATACTGGTGTGTTGTGCATGCATGTTAGGGTTTTTACAGTTAATGGAGGGTCATCCATAAATGCAGAAACCCAATATATTTATGTTTGTGTTTCTGTTGCCAGATACCCCCCACCTAGTGAACATCGTTCAATGGTTTGGGTTGGCTCACACAGCCTGCAACGTAAATCTGAAAAGTACATGAATATAGGATCCTGCATACTTGGCCCTGGATACTATCGCCACAGTAGTTACTATGTGAATGACATCGCCCTGGTCAAGCTGAGGAAAAAGATAAAATTCAAGGAAAATGTTCAAGCAGTGAATCTGCCCACTACTGAGGACACCTTTGGTCCATCATCTGAGTGCTGGATCATTGGCTGGGGTCACGTTGAGAATGGTGGTAAGTTCTATTCATAAAGTGCATTAGCATATAAAATATATAAGGATTTTATTTTACCATGCTGCATGTGAGCATCTTTCATTTTCAGTGCCAAACAAAATCATTTCTTTCTCAGGAGAGGAATATGAAAGCTACACTTACAGTACATCATTCTGCACAGTGAACATCACACTGAACTAATATGTAAACCACATTTTATTGGTAGGATACTTTAAATAAACAAGATATGATGTGTTAATTACTGACCTTTGGTCAGAGCCACCATTTCCCCCTCTTTCCAGTCTATATACGCTAAGCAGCTACTGGCTTTAGCTACATATTTACTGTACAGACATGACACAGCTTGATGATGAGCTAACAGGAGCCTTCCTTCAGACGAAAGAACGAAATTCAATCTACACAGTCAACTGGAATGGGAAAAAAAACAGGTGCAAGATGATAATTATTTGTATGTATTTGCACGTGTGTCCATGCAGTTCCACTGCAGGATCCCGAGACCCTTCAGCAGCTGAAGATTTCCATCATCCCTTCAAAAGTGTGTAAGGTGCAATATCCTGAGCTGACCTCTAACATGCTGTGTGCAGGGGACATGGCTGGAGGGAAGGACGCCTGCGAAGTGAGTTTTATTATTTAACCAGGCAAAATGTACATTGAAAATGTATTTATAATATAATACATGAGCTGTATGCACTAAACCAGGGGGTGTACTTTAACTTACAGTATACTCCACTACATGCTAGAGGGAAATATACTTGTCACTCTGATAGTTTTATCTGACAGCTGTAGTTACTATTTACTCAGCAGTTTAGGATTTTATGTAGAAAACATTTAATGAGCCTATGTCAGCTGTTTGTTGTGAGTTGTTAAGAATTCTCTTATGTTTTGCTTATGTCTGTACTGCTACTAAAGTAGGATTTTGAATGCATAACTTTTACTTCTAACAGAGTATTTTTACATTGTTGTATTGTAATTTTTAAGGATCTTCTTTCACCCTGAGAAAATGACTTAAAAATTAGATAATATCCCAGAAGCTGACCTGTTCCTCCCTAACTACTATATGAATCTGCTGTGTGTCAGTGCAACAAGTTAAACTCTGGAAGAAAGATTCCAAGGGAACGCTGCAAAGTTTAATGACTAACTCCGTGTGCGTTCTTTGTGCTCCACAGGGGGATTACGGTGGCCCGCTGGTGTGTCGTACAGCCAGGGGCTTTGTGCAGGTGGGCATCATGAGTTATGGGAGTCGTAAAGGTTGTGCTCTCCCAGGCCGCCCTGGCGTCTACACCCAAGTGTCCAAATACCTGAGTTTCATCAACGAGAACATCCACCACGCTGAGGAAGCCTCAACTGAGGTCTAAACTTTCATGAAGCTGAAGCTGCCCGAGTGCTCTCACCCGACAACCTGCCTTCCTCTCTATAGCATCGCTCCTGTGCTGTACTCTCAGTTCATTTCACCTTTTTATTATGGTTATGCTGTTACCCTCGTTTACTCAACTCCATTCTTTGCATTAAAGCTTTAAAGCATTCATTTTGTGTCTATGTGTTTTGGAGAAGCGTTCACATGCTTTAAACACATTAACAAACACAGACATCCATCTCATAACAACAATCTTCTTCCCATGGTGACAAGTAATTAAATACATTTACCTATGTACTTAGTACACATTAGATACAGCTAGGCCATTAGAAAAAGATTTTGCCATTTGCTAAACCACCCTGTATCAATTTATTTATTTTTTGACAGAAGCTAGGCATCGTCCAGCACCTGAGAGCATGGCGGCCTACTGGATCCCCAGGAGAGTCACAAACGAAACAAATGATTTTTACAGATGCAATACACTGTTACTAAAACAGTTTAAAAATCCAGACAAATGTCAGTCAATTAGTACTATTTTAATATATTTTAATGACTGTTGTAACTGACCCCTGGTATGGGGTTAGGTACATCTGACTTATTCCCGTCAAATTCAAATGATGAATTTATTATAATTGGACATTTTAATGGCATGGGTAAGCTGACAGATATACAGTATGTTTAGCATACTAAAATTGTGTAGGTCTAGTAGACATAGTCTCTAAGTGAGCAAAGTGCAAAAGTGTTGCAACCATACCCACCTTTACCTAAAACGAGGCAGAATCTTATGAGCTTGGCTTAGCACAAGACTAGAAAGCAGGGAACTTGGCTATTCCTAACAGTACCAATGGATTTTATTACCTCTGGACAGAGTCTGGATGGCTGTTTTCCCCCGTGTGTAGTCTTTGTGCTAAGCTACACTATATATTTAGCTTGCAGACATGAGGGCGGTATCAATGTTTTCACCAAACTCTCAGCAACAAAGTGAGAGTATTTCCCAAAATACTGAACTATTTAGTGGTTCAGTAACACCATTTTTAGGCTAGCTTTGCACCAAAACTAGAAACCACAGGAAAGAGCTAGCCTCCAAGAAAAGAAAAAAAAAAACCCTTAAAAGCCTTTTAAAAGGTTTTGAATCCTATTTTTTTTTGTTAGCAAGCAAGCTAGTTAACAGCAAAAGTCTGTCACCATATGTCATTTTTTATTTGTGTCAAATACACAAACACAGTGTGCAAATGTGCAAAAAAAATAATTTTAGGTTAGATTTTTCTCCACTTTTGATGGCATTTGGCTACCTTCTAATTGTTGTGCTAAGCTATGCTAAACACTTAGAAATATGCTTTTGATAATGAGCTTTAAGATGAAAATATTTCCCAAAATATCAGTGATCATTTTTACACAATGCACAATTATACAGGCGAGAAGCAGCTTTAAAAACATTTTTGGAACTGTGAAATCACTGAGCAGTTAGTAGACAGCAGTAGAGTGGCCACCACTTTGACCTTAAGTTCGTATATGATTAGGCAGCGGTCAGTGCACTACAAGTAAACCTTAAACAAATTCAACCACATTCATGACAGTAAATAAAAAAATTATAAAATCTGTGAGGATATGCTAATTTTCTCCATCAGCCTGACAGTTATTGAATCTTTAAACTTCAGTGGCTAAGTAACAACTCTGGCCAAAATAACACCTGAAATTTACATAGTCCTTCAACAGAAAAAAATAAAATAAAAGATTTACAGAAAAGAATGAACTCCTTTTCATGACAAAACTTCCCAACTCCTCAGCCAAAAATATCACAAGCTTTTTAATTTTCCTATAAATCTGCATCCCATAAAAATATTAGTTTATGGTTTTGGTCTACTGAGCAATGTCATCCTCACACCATCAGTCTTTTTTTGGAGAACACTCGTCCTTGAGTTTACTTAAAGTACCAGGCACAACTATGTACAGCATATAGTCCAGTATAATGACCCGGCAAATCACTGGCTACCTCTACATGCACACATCAACCTGCTTACTTGATGTTTTTACCCTCCATTTGGATCTTTTTATTGCCCAACACCTTGTTTGTCATGTGTTCATTACCAGCAAAGAAATCAAAGGGAGCCCACACAACAGCCTTGCTGTATTGATCTTTACTATGATGAACATTAGATCTAAACTATTTGTGGTCTGGTAGGACAACTTGATAAAGACCAAGATAGCTGAAATATGTTGCGCACCTACTTCGTTTTATCCATAACAAAATGTTTTGTATGGTATTGTGTCTTAAAATGTTCTGACCAGAGAATCAATCTTAACTGGGTTAGACTTTTACATGTGACAGCTCAGAATCTTAAAAACAGCAGTATAGTCTGTGCATGCAAAGATAGCCATAGTGTTGCTCATAGTGGCAGCTGTGCTTGCTCCTGTAGCGCTGTGCTTGGATCTGGGATAGGCTGAGGGGAGCTGCTGCTTTTCTCTGAGTCCTCCTTTGTCTCATCCTTCTCAGCTTTCCGTTTCTCTGCCTTGGTCTTGAACCTCAGCCCATGGCCTGTCAATCACCGGTAAGATTCATTATTGATCAGTCTATTTTTACATTAATGGATCAATTTCATAAATAAGAGAAAAGCACATCTTCAAATTAATTAGTTTAATTACCAACTTTTATTTGATAAATGTTGGTCAATATAATTTCCAGTCATCAGTGAATCAACTGAAGGACTAATTACTGGGGTGGCTGGTAAAAGCTTTATGGATTCAACATTTAAAAAAAAAAAGCAAGTATTGAAGTGGTACAACAAAAAACTAAAAATGGAAAAGCATCAAGCTGATAATGTGCTCCAATTAAAGCATTTAATATCACAGTAAGCACATAAGTGGAATTTGTTACTGCAAAATGCATGGCAAACACAAGCACCAGCTGTAGCTCTTGAGCACAGGAATATTTTCTCCCCACCCTAGACCCAAAAGCATGTGTGTGTACTGACTTGGACAGTCTGCCACCTCCTTGTAGGCCTTCTTCTTACAGCAGCCTCGGCACAGGTTGAAGACACACTTATTTCCCTGCAGAGCAGAAGAAAAAAAAAAGTGCTTCAGTTGGTGATCAAACATCCACTAAAAATCTATTACTCAAACATTTGTGAAATGAAATGAATGTATAAATGAACTTCATGCATAAATGTCTGAAATCGAACATTTCCTTGAACCAGAGGGGATCTGTGACACTTGTACTGACAACTAACTGCTGCACATATGTACATCACCACCCATGAATCAAATGAAATACTGTACATACACACACTAATTGACTGCTTACCTTTGGGTTCCCACACTGTTCACACTTGATGTACTTTGCTGTGGGAAGAAAGAAGAGAGACACTGTCAGATTTAAGGTCTAGGACCTCAGCACTTGGGGCAGAAAGCGATGGTTCAGACTCACGTCTCTGCTTGGGACAGAAGTTCTTGTTGGGGTTGCGGGATCTCTTCTTCTGCTTGTTTTTGGAGAGAGTGTCAGCAGATCCATCAGAGACCTCTAGTGCCCTTTTCTGGCACACTGTCTTCTTCACCTCTGACCCCTGGCTGTTACCATTGGCAACTGGCTCCTTTGGCCTGTAAGGCAGTTTTTTACTATCAGGATAGATTCTCCTTTTATAGGTGATGTGCAGCTGTATGACGACTTACTGAAACCATCTTGTGAAAATTATGATAGAGAATGTTAAAAACAAAGTGTGGTAACTCACACAGGTCTAACATATGGTTGGCAGATCCAGTGGGGGAAAGGCAGGCAACCCTCTGTCTCTTCCAAATCTTTGCCTCTTGCTATCTCCTCCTGTACAAGTAGAGATAAAGCTACTGGATTAGAACACCACTGATAGTACTTCATCCTGTTAGTACTGCAGTCTGCTTACATACGTCTCCTGTATAATACCAAACCCTGTGTCACTGATAAGACTGGAAAAGGAAGCAGTGCTCATAAAACACAATCTCTTCAGGATCCTCTGCATGACAGTGGTCACATGATCAACATGAATAGCCAAGCTAGCACTAGGTTTGTCCTCTGGCTCTGATTAGCTTCCTATAGTATGAGTAACGTTAAGCCAAGTTAGAAGTATATAACAGAGCCTTCACCTGTTACAATCACAATGAGTATCTAACCCTTACTCATTTCAACTTGATGCAGGCTATGTTTGGTAAAACGTGTCCAGCTGACCATGACTGTACGCTAATGAACAAAGCCAGTTACTGTCATACACTGACACTACTCACTGCACTGTTGGGGTGAACTGATGTTACCTGGCAGCGCAGTCTCAGCCGTCTGCTGACATCAGCCAAACACTCAAGGGTCTTCACTTTGGCCAACTCCTCCCTCAGGTCTTGGTGGATCTGCAGTCTATATTCACACACACACACACATATACGCTGTGTTTTCATTCTTTTTAGGGACTTTACATTAATTTCCCGTAGCCTTAACCATAACCACTGCTTCCCTAACACCCATCACCTAAACCACGTTGCCACCCTAAAATTCAGTGATTTGCTTGTGGGGACTAGCTTCTGGTCCCCACAAGGATGGCCGAGTCCCCACAGTGTTAGTGTGTTAACAGGTTTCGGTCCTCATGATGCAAGTAATACAAAGGCACGCACACACACACACACACACAGCAAATACAAAGCCTGCAGACGAGGTTAAATGATTCAGCTACTCGTCATATATACATCAGGCAAGATGCATGATCTGAGCTGCAGGACACTGTTGCTAATTGCATGTGCAAAGAAATCCTACATTTCATTCAAATGTTTCACAAATGGGTGTGAATGAGACCGTACTACACAAGGATGGGTAAAAGCCATAAACACAGTATCATGACATCAATATATGTATTCTATTTTGTTTCTCAATTTTATTGACATGAATAGTAAAAAAAATAAAATATTTAAACAATGTCTGTTATGGGCTGATGAGGCTCTTTAAACAGTCACCATATCTCAACACACGTCTGCAAAAATAATTTATAAATCTAACATAACCATAAAGCATTCCTTCTAATAGAAGACATTATTAAAGAATGGCTACCATGGACTGATGAATATCAAAAAAAACTTTGAGATGACTCTGTAACCCTTTCCAGCTACACACAAATCAACAGCTCTTCTGAGATCTCTTTTTTGCAAGGCTCACATCAGCTGATGACGCTTGGGAATAGCACACTGATACCGATTGTGTGCTCTTATAAGTCAAGGTCATTCTAAACCACACCTCCATTCTCGTTTCATTGATTGGACTCCAGGTTTGCTAACACCTGACTCCAGTTGACATCAGAAGCATCAGAAGGTGTTGACGTTACTTTTTTTTTTTTTTTACCATCACTTTGTATGTTTAATGGGTGTGTCAAATAAAAACATGAAAGACCATGACTGTGTTTTATCAGCTGTGAAATATTGTGTTTGTTAATATTTGTGACTTTGGTGAAGCTCATTTCATGACCAATTGCAAAACAGTGTTATTACTTTTTCTTGTGACTGTAATGGTAGTTTCTCTGATAAAAAGGAAACTACTTGCAGAGTTCCTCAAGGATTTTTTGGGTCCATCGTAATTCATTGGTTTTATCAGTGACTTGCCTTATGCTGTTAATGATGCTGATACAGTCACGTATGGAGACAATAACAATCACAGTACCAATGACTAAATGGGAAAAGGATTTGCTAACTATTGCCAAGAAAACAATCTTTCTAAAGTGGAAATCTAAAAACTCATTACACATCAACCACTGGACCAGCCTTCTCACAGAATATATCACACTAGAGAAAGTATCATCTACCCAGAAGAATAATATACTTTTACCAACACTTGGAATCCGTTTCTAACCACTTTTAACTTAAACCAGACACCTGAGGCCGAGGCCACGCACATTCCCACAAACTCCTAAAAATATAACAAGTTGCTTGTTATTTCATTATTGTCACTGTTATTAGACCTCATTGTCCATGCTACTGTTTTGAGTATATCACACCCATCAATCAAACCAAATGAACTGATATTACCTACTCTCCTTCTTTTTTCTCCTCTAATTATTTAGTGATTTGTTAATTTCATTTATTTTATATATCAGTCTGCACAGAGTTGGATAAACACACTTTCATAAACACAACTCTAACTTAATTTAATAATCCCTTTGTTGGTCTGTTGTCTCATCTAAGTTATGTCCTTTGTCTTGTAAATCTTGTGTTGCAATTAAAAAACAACATATGGAGACAACTAACTTGTCCTGTGCTTCACCTACTGTAATTGAAAGTAAATTTAAATGGAGCTGTTTTTACTCAGCTGAGTAAAGACAAACATGTAGAAAATACTGACAGAATAAAAGTATAGTATTCAAAAGTATTCTCTGCTTACGTACCATCTTCCATTATGAGAAATGTGACCCACTCAGTCTGATCACATCTGGAATATTGCCCAGTGGCCTGGTTAATTGCAAATTGCTCAAAATAGCAGTAAGGTTGATTCTTCACCATCAGCTAAGAATGGCGAACTGTGGAAGCTAAGTTGAAATCCAGCTTGTTGCTATTTATGCACAATACAGTTTACAAAAACACATTCCAGTTTTTTTTCCGAGACATTAGCATCTACAGGTTCTTCCTCATAGTTATGCCTCCCGAACAAAAATTACTGGCCATTTGGTAATCCCATGTCCTCAACCAGTTATATGTACACAACAGTCCTGTTCAGAGTTTCATCTGCCTGGAATCAGGTTCCATCAGTAATCAGCAAAACTAAAAGTAGATTCTTTTTTTTTTAAATTATTGAGGCAAAGCTTCATGATTTCAATGCAGACCATGAAATTATTCTGGCATTGTTTCAAATGGAATTAACTAAATAGTATATGTTTTGGTTGTTTTACTGTTTCAGACAAAAAAAAAAGTTACTATTGGGATTTTAATTATTTGGGCTACAGGTCAATTTGAATACTATATGACTGCTGGGTTTGTAAAGGAGCTACAGATTGACCATTGTGATGTGTGTATTGACTGAATTAGTTCTTGTCTATAGTTTTTATGGTTACTTGTGATTCAATTTTGTTTAGTTTCTTTGTTTTAACTGGACCCCAGGAAAACTATCTTCTCTAAGTGGAAGCTAAAGGAGCATTCAGCTAAAACCAATTATGAGTTGTTTGTATGGCTGGATACCTAAGGAAACCTCCTTTCCATAAATCTTTCTGACAACTCGTACAGGGGTCTAATATTTATGTAACTCTCTGAAACCAGTGATCTGACATTCACACCCACTTCATACTGGGACTGGTCAGCTGTGCAGAAGTGAGAGAGAAGCTAAAGACTGAAAATCTCTCTAGTTCTCTTTTTTTCCATTTGTTACCCTACTGTTTTCAAGTGAACAACTGAGTGCATTGCTGGAGAGACTGCTTGAAAATGTGCATATCCCCGTTTTTAAACGATACATCATCTCCCCCCTCTCTGTGACAGCCAGCTTCATAATTCACCTTCCAGTGTGGCACCTTCCAGTGTGGCCATTCGGATCAGGTATAACCACTTTTGACCTCCGTAGCTGGACAGCACATCTTACGAACTAGTTCTGAAAGACCATAAACCAGCTCTTATTATGAAGCAGTCACAGGAAATGAAACGAATCTTTCAGAGGTTAACGCATCAAATGCGTCTACAAAACAAGATCTGGTCATTTTGGTCCTTTTTTTGACAGAGGATCAGCTTGGAATCTGGAAATCATGGAACAGCAGAACAAGAGGCTGTTAGATGAAGAGCTGCAGACACCAAGCAGCACATCTCCAGCTCCTCAGAATGCTCAGTTCACCGTGTCCTGCGATTTTGGGTAAATCTACTCTCAGAACGTGTAGCAAGAAACTAATTCATTTTCAAACATTACTGACTGACATGTTTAATACAATAGAACAGATTTGTCTGGCTGCACTGCAAACAGCACAAATACAGCAGCTGTTTAAGGAGTGTTTGCTGCCCTCAGGATTCTGAAAGCTGTAGTGTTAACCCACATTTGCTGTGACCAGAGTAACTGCAGGTAATGCGAAATCAAACTAAACCCACTAAAATGTTAAGGATTACAAACTTCAATGGAAGAATCTCATCTACTACTTTTTCAAGAAACGGGATGAGGACTAATGCAGCCCTAAAATAACAGCACCTCTGGAAAACCTACCCAACAGGACCAGTCTGATAAAGTGATGATCAACTGTCTTTATCAGTGCTCAGTGAGTGGGGGTGTTACATACAGCCTAATGACATCTATATATACAGTATATGTACACAGACATACACAGACCAGGGCAGACAGACATACGTGTGATGCCAGAGCTTGAAGAGGTGTGCTCGTACGTAGGACAGACTGCAGGGAGGGTACTGTTTTACCAACTCTAGATACTCCTCAGCCATTTCCCACACTGGGGGACTGCGACCCTCAAACACTGCTGGGTTATGGAGGTTCCCCTCTAAAAATAATACAAAGAAGAACTCAGAAATTACATTCAAAACAATCAATGATCTAAGCAGGACTTGACATATCTTCTATGAACAGCAAGGACTTAGGACAAATGTGTATTATGACTAAAATCCTGTTACAAAATAAGGCACTAGACATGCATTCCTAACCTGCACTCATAACTCCCTGCACTCCTGTTTCCTGAATGCAGCGTTTCACATCACTCAGGTGTTGAATGTTGCCATTTGCAAACACTGGAATATTCACTGCCTTCCTGTGGCAAAAGCACACCAGACAATTAGCCATATTATGTTGTATTCCAGGAAAAACTGCCATGATTTGTTAAATTATTACACTGAGTCCACTGGAAAAGCAAATGTTCAGATTAACCATAGTGAAAAATCATAAAGTGGTGGTAGCTCACCGTACTGCCTTGATGTGCTCCCAGCTAGCAATACCTGTCATGGCGCCTTTCTGGTCTTTGGTTCTTCCGTGCACTGTCAGCAGCTGGAAAAAAATGGATGATGGACAAAGACAAATTTCGACCTTTTTAAATTCTTCCTTAAATGGAATTTGGGACTAGTTTTGCAGATATACACAAATACAAAACACATACGTTCACAATTTAAGTTTTAATAAACAGATTTTTATTGATTTTGACAGGTAGTTAACTATAATTATAAACAGAGTTTATATAAACCATGGTTAAGAGTGGATTTATATTTAAAAAGGTGACTGCAGTCATACCTGACATCCAGCTTTCTCCAGCATCTGGGCATAGTGGACTGTCTTTTCAATCTCCTCGAACACACGAATCTTGCATGTGACTGGCACTGAAAGCTTTTCATTGGCTAACCTGACTGTAAAGTAAGAATGGTATGTTAGTTTGAGATAATAGAACTACAGTATACAATAATACATTTTTTTTTAAAAGCACTATGTCAAGATATTTGATTCTTTACAATTTTCAGGTTTTAGATTTTTGTTGTGCTCATACTTGAATAAACCCAACAATGTCAAGACTTACCCATTTTCTCTAAAAGTTCCCATTCATCCTGTAGAAAAACTCCATAGTGCCCTTAGAAACAAGCATCACAAGTCAGTTTTCTTCTCACGACATCATCTGCAAGTCAGTGTCTTTTCTGATACAACCTCTAAGAAAGTCAAGAATTTGCAGTTCATCTCTGTACAAACTACATACATACCTCTCTTAGCTATCATTTGTGGACAGCCCAGGTTGAGGTCAATGGCGTCGCAGTAGTCTTGGGCCAGCAGAGCTGCCTGAAGGAACACCTCCGGATCATTGGCACAAAACTGACACACAGGGAACAGAGCACCAATTTACATCTTACATGAGGAACAGTAGGTAACTAATAGGGACAGGACAACATATTGAAATTCAATATATCATGATACAAAAACATCACAATATGTATAGTTTTGTTGAACGATATACATCATATGGTCGACTTCATTTTTTTATTAAATAAGATAGCCTAACAGAACATAAGTTGATATATCTGGTTGTTCTTTACATAATCAAACCAGTGTAAAACAGGGAACAAAGACAAATATAGTACAAGTATTCCACAACTAGTCATACATTGTTGTCAATGAATTTTTATTTGTACCATGATTTAATCGAATTGTACGCACCATATCGTGCAGTGAATGGTACTGAGCAAAAGTTATATCCATCCCATCCCTAGTGACTAATCAAACAAAGGCCATGCTGTAGGATTTTCACCAGCAACTTCAATCAACCATTATTACCAATCTGTAAACGACCTTTCCTGTATAGCTCCTCACCTGTGTGATCAGAGGTCTGTCCTCCTCACAAACTTCATTGTAGAGGTTTTCCCTCCGGTAGTTGGCATCACGGACAAACACCTGAGCATGCAGCATGGGGGTGTAGCATAGCTGAGCACCATGTCGACGACTAAGCAGGCGCCAGGCCAGTTCACTCTGGTCCACCATGGGTGCCACCACAAAGCTTGCCTCTTTCAGACTTATCCTCCAGAACTCAAAGCCCCGGAGCTTGGCCATCACAATTGACTTGACCACACAAGAGAGCACTAAATTAATTAGAAATCCTGCTAAAAATGTTGATTCCTATTTAATAGCACAGCAAACACTGGGTAAGAAAAGCACTTTACATAATGCATGATAGATACACCTCTGGATTTTGTTGCAGCAGGCAGTGGTTCTACCAAACCCCCAAATTCCCTACTGCCTTGCTGTCAGATGTTTTCAAACAACTGTGTTGAATTTCAAGACATGTCCTGAAAGAAGAGGAGAGAGAGAGAGAAGTTGGGAGGCTAACAACAAAACGGCGCTTCTTTAAACATGTTGCCTTTTATAGCCAAAGACATTCTACCAGGGTTAGCTTTCTCAGAATATGTTTAAAAATATTTAATACAACCAAATATTTCTTAATACTTTAATTAGTTTGCTAGTTTCAAACAAGCAGTAATACATCCCCAAGTATAAATTTACTGACAAACTGGTACCAATTTAAAAGTGAACTTATTCAAATACTTGTAATTTAGCAAACTTTCTTCTTTGTGTATAGAAAAAATCACAAGTAGCAAAATGATGATGCAGAATCAATTTGTAATCTCACTTTTAACTGCAAAGTTTTTAAAAACGATCATATATTTCTGGATATACACCTTTATATGAGATATTTAAGGAAACGCAATGAAGTGTTGGCACAGCTGACACATGCCTTTTAACACTTCCATAGCGATGTACAAAACATAAGTCATGCCGTTAGCAGCATAACTAATAAAGGGTTACTCTAATTTATTGTGATAGCCTAATAAACGATATGGTACACTTCACTGACGTTTCCTTAACCATATTATATGTGAGCCAATGTATGATCGCGTTGCACAAATACAATGAAACATGTCAAAACAATGCAAATGCAACTGTTTCCGGGTAGATCGATATTTCTTTAATCGACTATTCAAACTGGCTATGTTGGTTAGGTGTTTTCTGGTGTTCGCTTTGGTTAAATTGCAGAGATAGTTTAAATGACATTTCTGTCAGTGTTACAAAAGCATCGCACGTAATCTCACAAGTTATCAAAAAGAACATTAACGTCAAGTTCATTTATTTAGGGCACATTTACTATGCCATGTTACACCGGAGCGACATCTGCTGTCGGGAAGTGACATCTGTCACTGAGGAACGAGTGGCATAACGTACCACTTCAGAGTCACCATGTGCTCCTTACACAATAGTGGCATGCCAAATCCCACTTTTCTATCTCAGCATCACTCCCCTCAGCCGCCGAACCGGCAGTCAAATTCAGCTGCGTCAAAAGCTAGCTGTTTATAAGACAATAAAAATGTTCACTTCTTAATGTTAAAAACGATGTTGACAACTCAGAATTGTTGCTAACGTTTACGTGTTTCTAATGTCTGCCTCAACAGTTATAAGCATTTAATGTGCTAGCCATAACATGTCATAGCAAATGTGCCCTAAATGTGCTATATTGTCAGCTAGCTAGGCAAAGACATGTAGGTTAGCACATGCAGCATTGAACACACAACGAAATTAGCAGAAATCTATCACAGCTGTGTTCTTCTGGCATCATCATATACTGCTCTGGTCATGTACTAACTATTTCTAAAAAAATATATACCTTCATAGTTTGTTGATTCGCCGACAGAAGTGGGAGATTTGGGGGGTAACGTTATCCCCGGGGATGCCGGGCGCAGCACTTTCCAGACCTGTGCAACGGCAAAATAGCTCCGGTGGGAAACTTCTTCTAGGACCATGACTCCACCTATCATCTAATTATCGCCCCCTTCCGCTGTGGTGCATAGAACAAACATGAAAACGGTGGAAAATTATTCAGACCCTTTAAAGATAGCAATAGAACCATGTCAGATACTCCTTTATAGGCATTCAAAGTTACACTTAAGTAAAATCTATTTAATGTTTCAAAAGTAGGCTGCCCTTTTTATGCAAAAGAGTGGTCCCTGTGACTGTTAATAAATTGATTCTAAATTGTATTATTGGGTTGTTAGTAAAGTGTGAGTGTGTTGTGGTTGGTTGAAATTGAGCTTTTAATTGGGCTTAATTAATATAAATTTATAAACATGTATTTATGTTTTGTATTTAAATTTTTAGTTGATGCTACGTAGGTATCATCAGTTGTCAGTTATTACCTATAACCCAGGTCTCTCTTTCATATGTTCAGTTATCATTCCACCTTCCCTGATTTTATGTTTAAACAACAGCTTCCATGAAGCCAAAGACAAACCACGTTGTAAATAAATAAAAAGTTCATTTAATATTCTATTTTACAGAAACACACATACAGTACAGTAGAGTACAGACAATACAGACCATATAGGCAACATGGGTTTGAGTAAAAACCAATCTACTAATCTACCACTAACAGCAAGCCATATCTGTCAGGCCATATTGTGCCTTTACTACAGTACTTGATAATTTCTCAGGTGCAAATCTAAAATCACAGTGTGAACTTAGTGCTTTTCGGAGACAAATACAAAATACTAGCAATTAGAGCTGGGTAGTGTTTTTTCATATTAACAGATGTATCAAAATATTCACATTCAACATGTTTGCTAGACCTGAAAGATAAACACAGTGTGATTTGGTGAGTAAAACATAACTTGTTAGTCCACAAGAGAACTCCAGAGAGGTTAACAGTGTTGCCTATTGGCTGCTGTATCACTGAGGTGGTATCTTTTCAAACAGTGGAAAACGTTTGTTGTTTCCTGTTTTTGTTAGCACAGGTCACCTGCATATTTTACAATGGCAATTCCTCTGCTGTTTATCCAGCTCTAGAAATCTGGATCATGTTCAAATCACCAATGTTGTTTACCCATCATAACTTCATCTGACTCACTTCATAGTTATTCATTTCTATGTCTCTAACAATGTGTGTGTGTGTGTGTGTGTGTGTGTGAGCTGCCTGATAAATCATTTTGTGAGTGTGATTTAGACTCATGTGTGATTTCAGTCTCACATGACAATAATTCTGCCATGTTTGCATTAGCAGTGAAATCCCTTGCACCAAACCAGGTGCTCCCTTTTTCTCGCTAAGCTGTGTTAACCAATAACCACAACTAATAACTGCAAAGTGATTTATTTCTGCTTCAACTGCTATTTATTTTGGTGAACTTTGACACATTAAGTTGTGCTGCTGGCCAGTTACTCTGCTGGAGCATAAAGTGCTCCACAACAAGGATTTGCAGACCATTGCGAAATAGGAGTCAGTGGTAACTCTGTGTTTATTGTCTCATTAGCAACCAACAGAGAATGTAGAACAGAAAGCTACTGTCACTTCCCATTGTTTGCATGTTCCCAGAAGGGTTAGTTTGCAAGCAGTAGTAGTCATGCTGATAAGGATTTAGCACTACCTTTGTTGCAAGAATGTGTGGTTGAGCTTAACTGTGCTCCCTTTTGATATACTTTTATTGTTTAACAGGGATAATGCATAAGACTTCATTTAATCTACAGTTATGATCTTTTCATAAAATTTGTTGACACTAAGAATTTCTAATATTGCCAACCTCTAGTTTTTGCTACATTAAGATAAAACTCAACTTGTGATAAAACCTAGAGACTACAAAACTTTACAAATGGTAGTTCTGTAATTGAATTCTCCTATTGTCTCTTATTACTACAAGGCTTTTAAAAATCTAGTGATAGATTATTGCTCTCATAATAACTGATAGTTTACAGTATCTCTTACTATTTTCTCTGGCAGTGGCACAGATGGGTTTAGCTTGGAAGTATAATTCCTTTCAGCATCTTTCATTTCTGCTCACAGACATGTTTCAGGACTAGCGGCCATGGTGCCATTTTGTTGCAGCTCTTTCAAGAACCTTTCCACTTCCTGTGAGTCCAGGGTTATACTCTGTACCCAGTCCTTCCTGTGACTTACTGGCCTGACCTCTTCTATTTTCCCTTTGTTGCTCTCCTCCTTTAACTTCTTCTTTCTCTCCTTCACTTGCTCCTCGCTTTCTCCCTTCTTCTCTTTATCATTAATCTCAGATTTACTGCACAGCTCTGACTTGGCATCATCTGTCACTGTGACATTCTCAAATTTGTCTACTGGCATTGAAGACTTCCTTGTGATAAACAAAAAGTTGCAAGTAGCCAGAACCACAGCAGAGAGGAACACCTCACTTCCTGCCAACAGAAAGACATACATGTAGTTCTTGGTGGCATCCAGAAGCCGGCCTGAGACAGAGGGAAGAGACAACAGGAAGCAGATGAGAGGATAAAATGGGAGAACCACACAGAGAGATAACAATCAACAAAAACTGGTTATTTACTGTAATGCTAGTTTATATCCACAATTAAAAACTCCTTTCCTAATATACAGGTCTGTATAATGCTTATCAGTTAAAATTTCTATATACAAAATGAAAAATAGAAAACTGAAAAATCTAATTCAACTTTCCAAAATAGTGTTTTTCATTTGTCAGCTAAATGTGCAATTAATATTTTCAACAAATGTTTAAAATTTTGAATCTGTAGAACATTAGATCAAAAAACAGAAAATAAAAAATGAGAAAATCAGAGTACTTTGATTTCTGCTCATGCCTTATGTTGTTTGAGAGGGGCAGGATATAGTTTCTAGAAGACAGGGTTGCTGTCCAAAGCCCCTTTTACTCAGAGGTTGTGGCAAACTGCCAGTGATTTGACTGTTATTTGCTTTATGCCCTTTTACACTTAGCTTTAAAAAGCCAGCAAAATGTTCATTTTACACAACTGCCAGAATCCAGGTACTAGAGGCGTGATGTTTATCATGACATCCAATGGTCCGTGTACTTAGTGGCCAATGATTTTTCATTATGGAAATAAAACAAATTAGCTGTTATATGATATTGTTTAATACATTTATAAATGGAATGTGGGAATTACAGTAGACTACAATGTGCATCCAATTTCAGGTTTGTGTGTTGGTTTGAAGGCAGGGCAATACACACACACAAGGTGCACAGCAGAACAGACAGAAACATACATTTTGGCTGCATTCACACAAAATCCTTCCCACGGGGCTGTGCAGAGGTGTGGCTGTGTTTATTCCTGCTTTAGAGCATAACAGTAGTGAAACAATCACAAAATAAGCATTTTAATTCTCTGATTCACTTTGTTCACTTATGATTCACTTATGTGCAGCTGCTTTTCATTGACTTCAGCTCAGCCTTCAATACAGTCATCCCTCAGCACTTGATATGATAACTTGGTACATTAGGCATCAGCACCCAACTATGTAACTGGAGGATGGACTTCCTCACAGACAGACCTCAGGATGTACGTGTTGAGAAAACTACCTTGAAGACAGTCATTCTCAACACAGGGGTTCTCTAGGGCGGTGTTCTGGTGTGTGAAGACAGTCATTCTCAACACAGGGGTCCTCTAGGGCGGTGTTCTGGTGTCATAATAACTTGACACTAAATGTCAACAAAACAAAAGAGATCACTACTGATTTTAGAAGGAAGCACACAGTACACACTCCACCTAACATCCATAGAAGCACTGTGTAGTTAGTGAAAAGTACCACGTTTCTGGGTGTGCACATCACCGATGACCTGACTTGAAAACCCCCCCCCCCCCCTTGTCATCAAGGCACAGTAGTGCCTCCACTTCCTGTTACAGATGTGGCAGGGTCCTCAAAGCATTCTACAGGGGCACTATAGAGAGCACTTTAGGTTTGGTAGATTTGCTACTACTTAATTTCCCTATGCCATTTCTCCACTGCTCCCTGTGCCATGACAAAACAAAATCCAAGAACAGCTCAAATACATGCACTACTGTCACCAATACCTTTTCAAATAAATTGGACACTTCAGTCCAGTTCAGGCGTGCTGCAGTTTTGGCACTTACTGACCTGCACCAGGTGGTCCCACCAGCACAGCAAAGGCCTCCATGAGCAGGACCAGACCAATGGCACTGGAGAACTTCTCAGTACCAACTATTGCCATGAGAACCTCAAACTGCAGCGCTCCCACCATGCCATAGGAGATGCCAAAGAAGATGCAGAAGACCACAAGAGATGCATAGCTCTTTGCCTGAGAACAAATACGAGATTGCATTTAGGCTTTATATCAGTAGGATCCACATTTTCTTTCCAGTTCATAACAAGCAAGTGTTCCCATACCTGTGCACAGATCAAGTCAGTGGCTCCATTGAAGATCATAGCAAAGCTGAAGAGGTAAACACAACGAGGCCGCACCCATTTCAGTCCTGCAATCACTCCACACGTGGGCCGTGCAAAAATGTCAATGAAGCCCAGGATGGTGAGCAGCAATGCTGATTTGGTATCCTCATTCCCCAGCTCCTTAGCATAGCTCACAACAAACACTGGAGGCACAAACAGCCCCAGCACCATGATGGATGCTGCCACAGTGTAGATGACAAAACCACAGTCTTTGAAGACAGAGAAGTCCAGCAGTTTGGCTTTGGGCTTCTTCTTTTTCTCTGATCCTTCTTCTTTGTCCTGTTCCAGGGCCTTGGTCTGGACGCTGTTGGAGGGAACTAGTGGCTTCATTAGAGCCCCACACACACAGCAGTTGAGTAGCATGCCACCCAAGATGAGAAAGCCCCCTCTCCATCCATACTGGTACTGGAGGACCTGGCCCAGTGGCGAGAGGCAGCACAGGGCCACAGGACTTCCTGCTGCTGACAGTCCATTGGCCAAAGGACGCTTCTCACTGAAGTAGCGGTTAAGCATAATCAAAGAGGGTTGAAAGTTCAGGGCTAGCCCCAGACCTGCAGCAAAGGAAAGCAAGTTTAAACTGCCATACACACACAATATATTTTGAATTTGTGTTAAGTTAAAAGTGAGGCTACGTAAATTTTGCTGAACAGAAGTCACTGTGGTTCATCCATCCATCCATTATCTATACCTCATATCTTGAAGAGGGTCATGGGGGCACTGGAGCCAATCCCAGCTGCCACTGGGTGAGAGGTGGGGTACAGCCTGGACAGGTCGACACTTAGAGACAGACAACCACACACACACTCACACTCACTCTTACGGGCAATTTAGAGTCACCAATCAACCTAACCCTCATGTCTTTGGACTGTAGGAGGAAGCCAGAAGCCACGCCGGCACAGGGAAAACATGCAAACCGGGACAACTGGGGCTTAAACCTGGAACCCGAACCTGGAACTTTCTTGCTGTGAGGCAACAGCGCTAACAGTGGGTCACCATTCTGCCCCAGTCACTGGTGTAGATCATGGTGTAGTACATCCTAACATTATAGCATCTGTCAAATGTATCAGCAGACAGTCAGACCTGTAATGACCCCAGTGCAGAGGTAGATGTGGATGATACTGGTGGAGAAGGAAGCAAGGATCATTCCCAGAGATGCAAAGAGGCCACCCACCATCATCACTGGACGACAGCCGAAACAGTTCACCAGCACACTGCACAGAGGACCTGGACAAAGCATAATGAAGTCAGTCAGCTGTGTGTGTCTGGTGTGGTCTGGCACCTATACTGGTGGGAGTTATAGCATGTAAGTGTGGTAGCTTTGGGGATTTTGGAAGCTTAAAAGTTGAAGATGATAAATTTCTCATCTGATTCTGGTTAAACCAGCATATAAGGACAAGTGTTATGGCTCAGAAAACACTGGAGACAGTTGCAAAACTCAGAGGCACAGAGTATAAGTTCAAACATCCATCCATCCAATATCTATACAGCTTATCCTGAAGAGGGTTGCGGGGGACTGGAGCCAATCCCAGCTGACAGTGGGTGAGAGGCGGGGTACCCCTCTGGATTCAGAGCTCACTTGTCACCACACCGATTTTGGTTAAGCACCAAGTACTGACTGATGAATAAAAGAATTTGTCAGGCTGTTATGTAAGACTCAAAATTTTCTGTTAGAAGATTAATGGTATTTTTCATTAGGATTCAGGATTCAGAAGAGATCCTATTAGTAAGTCAGAGTATGCTTATGCTGTGACAGATTAAAAAGAGATTTCTAAGGCTTGTATTGGGTTACATAATACTGTAAGATGATCATGTTCTGGTCTAAACAAACATTTGCCTTAAAAGGAATAGTTAATGTCATGGCTAAAATAACACCCCAAATACTGTTTGTGTATATTTTATTGAAGAAGCAGCAGCCTACCTGTGCCATAGAGCATGGCCAGCAGTATAGAGGAGATCCAGGCAGTGTCACTGTACCCAACCCCAAACTCCTTGATCAGTTCTTTGAAGAAGACGCTGACCGCTTTTGGGAAAGCGTAAGAGAAGCCTGTGATGACAAAACAGCCGGCCAGCACCGCCCAACCCCACCCTCCATCTGGAGCCTTCACTCCCACTGCACCCACGTCCACCACTGCGCCACCCATGATGTGTTATTTCTGTATCTTAATGGAGGTAGATGGATAAGCTAGAAAAAATAAAAATGAGTCAGTTGGAGAGTTTCTCAGTAAATCCATCTAATTCATTTCCACGCCATGAACACTGCCTATCAGCAGTAGAACATATAGGCTATGTATCATATCAGACTGAACATATTTACCCAAAGTACTGTAGATATGTGTAACATTTAACAATGCTATTTAATATTGCCATCACTTTCTAGAATTGCCAGAAACTCTTAAAGCTTTAGATCCATTTGATTTAAGCAGCATCCTCCATCTTGTCATTTTGTCCGTTTAAAGCCCTTTTGTGAAACATATAATTTCTGACGATGACACGCCCTGGTTGAAATATCACAGCGGCAAACACAGTCTGTATTTATAGTACATACAGTAGTGTTTCACTGGAGTCCTAAACATTCAGGGTGGCCAAGGAGCTTTTAAGGCCAAACAGTGGAATGTTCTTGACTGGCCAAGTCTGACACCTGACTTCAATGCATGTGTTTTACTGCTGAAGACCAGTCATAGTAAAAAGAAACATGTAGGTACACAATGCAGATTAATGCAGTACAGGTTTAATTGAGCATTACCAGAAAAGATACTGAGTGCCTGCTGATGTCTGTGGGTGGGATACTTCAGACAGTCATTGACTGCTAACCAATTAAATGTTATCTATGACATTATTAGCATTGTGAGAAAATACTGTATGTCTTCTTTCACGGGGCTAAAATTCCTTAACACTGTAATAATGCTCAGACCTTAAGGCGCTAAACATGTTTTACACCAACTTAAACCAACTTTAGCAAGAAAAGACCAGTTTCAGTAAATTATAACTAACACATTAAGATTTAAAAACTTATTTTAAACAATTACTGGCATGATATTATGCAAAACATCCAGTCAGTATTTGTATCTGTATACTGACTCTTTTCTCTCATCACCTACAGTCCGTCAGTATTTTCAAGCCAACAGTAACAAGAACAGCAAGTCTGATTTACTGATACACTGTATATATATAATGCATTGTAAAGGCCCAGCACTGTCACTGGCCAAGTGATTTATTCTTCCACTGAGTCTCTGGAGCCAGACATGGCTTTCACCACCACAACCACACATTAGCAACAGCCAGCAACATTCCCATAGATTCATGTACGGTACTGTGTGACTGTGGTGATCAGGGTGTTTTTGGCATTTTTAACATCTGTAAAGTTCCATGAAACTTGATTTCTTTCTGGACTTATACAAAACAAAGCAGTAAAGACATTCATTTTGAATAGTGAGGAAGTAGCTAGTGGCTCCATTTGTCAATTTACAAACTCTTGATAGAGCTAATGGAACAAGCTGTGTGGTAGAAAGCAGTTTCAGGCATGTCCCTAGAGCAGCGTGCTGCATTTTTAAACAGTCATAAAAAATAGTCCCCTATTAGTAATATTGTTTGGACTGCAAAATATTCTTTAATAAAAAAAATCATCTCTCCTTGGGTGGCAGATAGATTATTTAAGTTGTATTTGTGTCAGAATCCAACAGTTTGGTGGTACTTTGCTTATCAGCACATAAGTCTATACGCTCTGTCCTTGTTACAGACATTAGTGCCACACAGTCCTCACATGTCTGCCCAACATTAATGTTTTACAGTTGAGTGTTAAAACAGTAGTTATAGTTTGGGGACACTATTGACTGCTTCATCAAAATACGGGAATATGCCTGTAAGTCTCGAGTGGTCATCATGTCACACTACTGTATATTTAACACACAAAATGCAGATAGTATTTAAATAATATATCAACTATTGTTAATATTTTCTAGGCCATTAAAATGTTATGTTTTTAGGTGCTGTTTCTAAAGCTTTTTTATTATCAGCTTTTGTTGCTCAGAAGGCTAATGTTGCTACCTCATGAAATGGCAAGACCCCACTGACGCACCAGAATGTGCATGTCACTGTTATAATTTGGTGACTTGTAGTCGTTACACAAGTATGACAGATGGGACAGCCACTTAATGGTGATGTCACCTAAAGAACAGAGTCCACACAACGTTGGACAGTGATAACATTCAAAGCAGATATATCTATTTATTGATATCTATCTATATTTTTATCTCTCTGTAAATCATGATGGCTGTGTATAATGTCAAAGGTGTCACACAATGATGAAACCACAGAGAATCACAATAATTCAGCTTAAATCAAGATGTGAAAATAGCTTCACAGCGCAACTACAATAGATCTTTAAGAAACAACTCAAAGCATTTGAACGTAAAAGACCACTGTACATAATAATGACATTAATAAAACTGAATATGATATTATGTTAATTTTTTTTAAAATAAAACAATATTAAATATAGACTATAACCATAAGACAATTAAAAAGCTTAAAACCATGTGATCTATATAATAGGCTTATATAAATGTATAAACACACAAAGTAACTGAAAGAGGACATAATTGGCCAACATCACAAATCAAATTCTAAAAGATTTTTAATTTAAGAAAAGGTTATTAAAAATATCAGTAATGTCTAATGCAGTGTTCATAACATCACAGGTCCCATCATGCCCATCAGATGACAATGTTTTCAACTTTTCTCAATTTCGTCCAATTCTCATTGGGTGTTGAGATTTACTTGTTATTCAGGCCACATTGTCAAAGTAAAAGGTTTTGAGACTAAAAGCTAATGTTGCCCTGTTGTGGGTTGGTCACTCCACATACCTCCCTGCATGGTCTGTACATCACTGGCTACAGAGCCTGCGTCTGGATGCGGATCCACACTGTATGCTTACTCTGTCACGACACGCACGGCTGGGTGGCATCATGCGAGAAAACTTGCGTCAAAAATGACAAATCACGCGATATGACTCACATTACCGGTCCAAGATATAAAGATACAGCAATTATAGCTCACTGATGTCACTGAGACGGTGTCCCAAACCAGATTTTCATGTGTAGCCTACGGGAGAGATGAGCGGTCCACAACGTGACAAGCTGTTGTGTGTCTTACCGGGCGATGCTGCTGAGAGCCCTCTCTCCTCCAGCCTCCTGCCTCAGCGCCACAGACTGTCACTAGGGTAGAGAGGGGCATGATGCTGGGTCCTAGTGCCTCAACTACACTGTTATATATATATATATATATATATATATGTAGCTGTCATGTGTTCATCATCTGATTACTTCTTCCCATGTACATGTGCAGACTGAACTTCTTCATCTTCACCTATGTGTTTTAAGCATGGGGGTTTAGACCATTATCCTGTGATGTACTATGATCCAGACTTGTACAGTCTGTGGGCCAATTGAATGAAAAGCCAGTCACATCCTTGTTGCTATAATGGTCATGTTCATGTGGTAGAGCAGCACCTAGTGGCCACAAGGCCTCAGAGCAGCTTCAGTAATGAAAGTAACTAAACAATAAAATAAGTTTTGTACATATACATTGGAGTTTTCAAAGCAAAGTTATATTGTGTGTAAAAACAGCTTGTTCTGGTCTCTACTTGCTGGTGACAGTTTTAAGCTTTAGAAACGACATCATGTAGTCATTAAGTTAACACGACTGTGGGTCTGAGTTGCTCTATGAAGACTTCTGAAACTGTCTGTGAGGTAAAATGTGCCACTAGCTTTGAGGGCAATGTGAGCCAGCCCAAAACACATTTACACATACACACACACACACACACCCTCTCATATACACAGGCTCAACATTATGGACCTAAGATCTCATGAAATGCTAATCTTATGTGGTCTATATTTATAGTGTGCAATAAGTAAATCTTCATCACCATCACTTTTGCCCTGGTGCTGCCCTCTGGAAAAATTTAAGGGGGTCACTCCACCTAAAAATCACCATTATATCATATGGTAGTCACAGCTTTTCATTTCAGTCAATGAACACAACAAATAAGTACTTAATTTATTTACACCATTTTAAAATACACAAATACAGTGGCATTACAGATTAAGAACAAAAAGTTTGGTGGGAGTGGAAAGAAAGATTTCCCATGAATCCACAGTGAAGAGATGCATTGCGGGACATGAGCAGCAATCTCCACTGCACAGTTCAAAGCTAAACTGGACATGACAAAAAGAAGAAATATATGACTAAACCAGACACGGTAGACTAACAAAGTAGGACACAGACGTTTATCCACCACTTTTTACGTCTGTTTATTTTTCAAGTCTGGGTTTTTACATTTTTTTCTTTTTTTTATGCCTAATGAAGTGAGGCATTCCTAGTCCCTACACCTACACACACTCATCATCCGAAACCGTACAGTAGCTCATGTAGAATGGTCGGCAGAGCAGGCACATTCAACACACAATAACAAAACATGTACAAATCAGCACTACACCCTCTTCCCCCTTAACTACAGAAAATTCCCTACAATACTTTGCAACCAGTCTAATACATTTAAGAATTTTCTACTTCAAAATTGGCAGGTCAGGGTCAAAATTGGTCAGTTCAACCCGCTGCACTGATCAAATCTCCTCTTGACAGAAATACAAGTCACTGAGAAGAGCCATGTGAGGCTGGTAGCTCCGGTATTGTTGGGACTCAGCCATACACTCAGTCCATGGCTCTCCAAGACCTCCTCACCTCCATTCAGCCTGTCGTTAAAGCACACTGTCCATTTTCTGCCTGGATTCTCTCATCACGCCAAGGTGGATATCCCTAATCTGACAATTTAGGATTAGCACTGACCGAGCAGGTATGATCCATGTTTTAATTGACTTCTGCTGCTCACATTAAGCCTGATGATTTTTTTTTTTGTCCCTGTGTATCTCTCATCTTATTGTGTTCTGTCTGATCATGCCTAAGAAACAGATATCTATGTGTAAACTTGGTGGAGTTTGCCTTTAAATTTGTCCACTGACAATGACATGTCACCTAAACTGACTCTCTTTACCAAAGTTTTCATAGTTCAGATGTAGTAAAATATTGTGTAATGGCACATACATGATATTAAGTGATTTCGATCAAGGTTAGAAATAATGGCTTGGGCCATTACCCGGTTATAACACATCCTGCACACTGTCACAAATTAAACATCATTGTCACTGTTGTACAGTTTAATGCCGTCTTGGCATTAGCTTTCTGTTTGTAGTGCCTCCTGAGCAAGTACTAGAAAGCCACATCCAGATAAGCAAGTTACAATATGCTGAAATTTTGATAAGGTTTGCAAGATCTAGGTAAAAGCAAACTGCATTTTGCCTCAAAATGGACTCAGACAGATGGTCTGGAGTGAGGTCAAGGAGACAACTGAGTTCAAAACAGGACAAATTAACATGTTCATCCCCGCCACTTTGCGCTTGTATAACCCTAAGAAAGAACCACACAAATGCACACACACAAAAACACATCACTATGCACCTGGTTTAGAAAGGAGATCTCATCCGTTCAGTGGACAGATGGAGATCCCAGCTATTTTAACATCCCAGTCACAGCTTTCCCTAGCAGCACATAACCTGAAGACAGAGAGAAATGTGCTGCATGTTTTTTTTTAATATTATTTACTACAACATCCTGGATCCAATGCACCTGAGGAGGATAACAACAAAAACCCCTTTAACTATGGGATCACTTTTGAAAACAGAATGATAAAAGGCCTTTTGTCCCATTTTAAAAACAATGGGTGTCAGCCTAACTTTAAAGTCAAACCTCAAACACCTTAAAAAAAAAAAAAAAAAAAAGGAAAAGAGAACAAGAGAGAGACTATTGACTTTCAGGATTTGAGAAGTCTTTCAGGACAAAGTTGAGGTGCTGTCTTTTAAAAGTGCCACAATGGATCACATGTTCTCTTGACTTCATAGCTAAGAGACTCATCCTCCATTTTCAAACTCTTGTCATGTCGGGCCAGTGGAGCTGGTGTAAGAGAAGTTTTAATGCTAAAGAATAAAAAAAAAGGAATACCAAAGTTAAAAAAAAAAATTGTGCCAGAGAACAATGACTCCATGGCTTTATCAACAAGGAGGAGGGGGAGTGTTTCCACATCTTCCATGGGAGAAGAAGAATAGAGGCTGTGGCTGCACCTTTGCCAAGGTGGTTAATGCAAACTGCACTCCACCCATCCTGCTCTCTCACTCTCACTCTCACACTCGCACACTCCTGGCTGTGCAACTCTGCCTCTGTCAAGTAAACAAGAGCACAGCCAGACTCTTGTGCACTGGTTGGTAGCTCTGCTGTGTCATTTAAGAGTCCTGTGTGTGTGTGTTTGTGTGTGTGCGGGTGTGTGAGTGTGTGGGCGGAAAGTGGTATATGTTGAGGCCTCCATGGTGCATGGGTTAATGGGAGGGTTTCACCGTGGAGCTGCAGGCTGGAGGCCGCTGGGTGTGACCCGGGACAGAGCCTTCAGAGGACAGAAGAAAAAGGTCATCATCAATCATTAGAAAACAGAAAGGGGAACATAAAAAAGGAAGAGAAACTGATTAGCATAGCATAAAAACAAGTAGAGGGAAGCTGCTACCCTGACTGTCCAAAGGTAACAAAATCCACTGTCCAGCACCTCTAAAACTCACCAACATTTAGCTTGTTTAGTTTCTTTTAATGAGGACTATGCTGCATTCACATAATATCTGCAGAACAGGAAGAACTGGAAAAACATGTGTTCTAACTTGAGAGTGTTCCAATACATAACAAACTGCTAGCCTTGTAATCTTACCTGATGAAACAAAGTTGAATCAGATGCATCAGTGATTTTATTCCATTTTATTAACTAATAAAATCCAGATTTTACTGATTTGTAACTACAGATGTCAACATTTTGCCCCTGCAGGACATAATTGTGAACAATATTCACAACAACATTTTCTGTAACACCATGTCATGGCTGGGAGCAGCAAGTTTCTGCTACCTCACAGTGATGACAAGACTTCATTATGAAGTGTTTTGAGAGAGTGGTGCTGGCCCACATCCAGAGCATTATATCGGGCACCCTGGACCCCCTGCAGTATGCCTACTGGCCCAACAGGGCCACCTCAGACACCATTGCGGCTGCACTCCCCTATTCCCCTTCTCACC